GTTTTCGCCATAGGCCAGGTGCACTCACTGGAAAGACAGAGAAAATGAGAAATCACCCCCCAGGGGGGATGACCACACTGAATTCCTTTCTCCTCCATTCTCTCGGGATTTCAGGGGAATACATGCACATGCGCCTGGAACGTTTCAAGTCGCTGAGTCCAGGACTCAAACCTTGGATGACCATGTGGGAGTCCAGCTGGCCCTTGTGTCTTTCAAGAGTGAGACAGTCAGACAGAGCACCCAACGGGTCTCCACGCCACGACCCCCCAGTCCTAGCCAGCCCAACTGCGAGCACATGTGCCTGGTACACTCAGGGAGGTCTGGACGTGAATCTGGAACCTCCCCATGTCAGTCAATCGTGCAGAGAGTCACGTTTTACTGTTGTGCTGCTGTCTGGTCCCTGGTCCCAATTCTGATCTGGAATAAACCACGCTTCTGCGGAGTAACTACGCCGGCCCGAGATCAGAGAGATAAGCTGTCCTGAGGGGAAGGGCTGTGGATTGAGAAAGGACAGAACAGAAAAAAGCAGGGGTCAGGCAGACGTGGTGTCTCTGCTAGAGAATGCCACGACCTGAGCTGGCCTGTGGTCTTTCTTTTGAAGGGGAGGCAAAACCACGTGCTTCAGCTGTGGAGCACCTCGTGGCTGTAAACAAGCCTCTCCTGCCTTCTCTGGGTAACACTCAGGTCACTGCTAGTTTGTCTGACCTAGTCAGACAACTAGATCCAGTCCAGTTAATACTGCCCAGCAGTAGTTTATGCCTCTGTTGAGAGCTTTTGCACGCCCTGCAGCATCAGCTCAGTGACTGTATCCACTTCAAGGTGCTCCCTGCAAGTAACTGGAGTGGTCTCCCACCACTGGGGGTCGGCTACCTGCTCCCTGATGCTGACGCGCAGGCTGTCGTGGGGCTGGTGCCACCAATGCAACACAGCACTCCTGACAGGAGCGAGTGCCTGCCACGTGCCCATGAAGAATATGCCCACATAGCAAAGAAAACATGTGGGTCAACCTGAACCCACTACACAGCCAGAAGTAGGTTTCCCAGGACACTTGGGCTATGAGAAAACAGAAGTCGAGTCCCGAGCTGGGTGTCTGGAAGGGGTCATCGCAGACCTTCCCAGGGAGGTGCTAGGCGTGGAGATCGCAGGCAAGGACAGTTAGTGAGCTGCAGCCGTGGAAGCTAGGTGGCAGGGGAAGGCAGTACTCAGCAGGCTGGGGACAACTCTCCTCCAGGACACAGTCCCAGGGAGCTGAATGAGCAGGGACCATGGGTGGGCCGGCGGCAGGAGAGAAGAGGAAGGAGGAGCTTAGGCAGGAAAGACAAATGTTTCCTAAGGACGCCAGACTACCTGTAGACCCTTCGTGGCATCCACTCCTACCCTGCTGTGAGGCTGAGGGCTCCGGCAGTATCTCACCCTGAGGTCACCTCTGCACAACCCGTGGAGAGCTGAGAGTCTGCTGAGTTAATGGGTCGGCCGCAGGGGACCCGTCTACACTATGTGCAAGACCGTGTGGCTGTCTACGCTGGGCTCTGCGAAAATGCTTAGCTGGAACCACAACCATTTAAACCTCACTTTATCTGGCTGTGGGTGGAGTGGAGGGCCGGCAGCACACCCTTTCTACACACGTGCACACAAGTACACATGCCGACTTACTGCCACAGCCCCGGATGCCCACACTCTCTACACACACACAAGTGCATGCGCACACACACGCCTACTTACTGCCAGAGCCCCGGATGCCCACGCTCTCTACACACACACATGCATGCACACACACACACCTACTGTCAAGAGCCCCAGATGCCCACACACTCTACACACACATGTGCATGCGCACACACACACCTTACTGCCAGAGCCCCAGATGCCCATGCTCTCTACACACATATGTGCATGTGCACACACACCTACTTACTGCCAGAGCCCTGGATGCCCACACTCTCTACACACACACATGCATGCGTATATAAACGCCTGTCAGAGCCCTGGATGCCCACTCTCTCTACACACACATGTGCATGCGCACACACACACACCTACTTACTGCCAGAGCCCTGGATGCCCACACTCTCTACACACACGTGCATGCGTATATACACGCCTACTGTCAGAGCCCTGGATGCCCACACTCTCTACACACACGTGCATGCGCACATACACGCCTACTGTCAGAGCCCTGGATGCCCACGCTCTCTACACACACATGTGCATGCGCACATACACGCCTACTTACTGCCAGAGCCCTGGATGCCCACGCTCTCTACACATACATGTGCATACTCACATACACGCCTACTTACTGTCAGAGCCCTGGATGCCCATGCTCTCTACACACACACGTGCATGTGCACATACACGCCTACTTACTGTCAGAGTCCCAGATGCCCACATGCTTACACACATGCCCACATGCTCTCTACACACACGTGTGCATGCACACATGCCTACTTACTGTCAGAGCCCCGGATGCCCAGCTTATCTTCAGGTTTCCCACTGGTGACGCCCCCAAAGCCTCTTTCCACGATGAATGCTGTAATTTTGTCTTTGGCTGAGCCGTCCTGGGCGACAACCTCAGTCTTTGCAAACACAGTGAAAACAGTGGCCAGCCCTCCGTTAGTGATCCAGACCTGAGGAAGGAAAGAAGGGGTTGGGGACAACGCAGCTCCTACACACACCTCTCGGAACCTCCTGCCCAGGCCAGGCACACAGCCTGGGCCCTGCAGACGCTGACACTGCATGGTCAGAGGTCAGGGCTCAGCCCAGCACAAGGCTCGCCCAAGAGAGGCCAGTGGTCAGGGTAGAGAGCAGCCAATGGTACTAGGACAGCCCAGGCTTTACCTCTATACCACTGGGTTTTCTCAGGAAAAAGGACTTTAACAATACTTGTCAGTTTAAAAAGCAGAGGAGGGGGAGGAAGCAGGGGAGAGGGATGGAGACACTGTCAACGAGTCACATGTTTGGGACTTATTTGGATCTGGATTCAAGTCAAAAAACAAAAAAAAGGTAGATAATTAGAAAAATTTGAACACTGACTTTTTTTTTTAAGAATAATTTTATTTAACTTTATTTATTTATTAATTTATTTCAGTTTGACCAGAGATGGACAGAGAGAGAGAGAAAGCAAGCCATCAGGTCCGGGACTTGAATTGTGGTTGCCCACATGGGAATCCAGTGTCTTTAACCACCACACAACCCGTCGGCCCCATGGGTTTGTTTTTTAAATAGTTGTATGCTGTAGAAGTAAGTGTTGAGGGGCCAGCAGGTGGCATGATGGTTACAGAACTGGACTCCCACATGGCCAACAGTAGTTCGGGCCCCAGACCTGGTGGCTTGCTTTCTCACTTTCCCTTTCTCTCTCTGAGTGTCTCTCTTTGGTCAAATTAAAAATAAATAATAACAAATAAAATTAAATAAATGTGCAGCTCATGGTGACAATGTGGACAACTGAGCACAGCAGGCTGTGAGTGAGCAGCTGCTGATGCAGGGTGTCAAGTGTGGGAAGTTCATCACTCCCGATGTCTGTATATGTTTAAGTTTTGGGCTAAAAAATGTTAAGACAAGCACATGGGGCCAGGTAGTGATGCAGCGGCAGACTGTGACACTCTGTGAGGCTAACCCACATGGCAGGTTCCCACGGCCTCCCTGGGTGTTCCAGGCATGTGAACCTGTGGCCATTGCTGGCTTGGGCTGGGGTGGACTGTGGCATCAAGATCCTGCGGGGGGGAATATTTCTTTCTCTCGCTCATGGGAGAAAGAAAGAAAGCAGGCAAAGGAAGGCCTGCAGGTAGCATGGTAGTTAAGGCACTGGATCTCTAACTTCATAGTTCAAGTCCCAGACCCATCAGCTAGAAAAATACACCAGGCACATGTGCATGCATGCCCAAAATCCTGAGAGGAGAATGGAGAAGAAAAGACTGCACTGTGACCATCCCCCTGGGGCGTTATTCTCACTTTCTCTCTCTCTTTCTGGCAAAGTGCACACACCCATAACATAAAAAGTTAAAAAAAGGGAAAAGAAAAACACACTGGCTGGGTGTGCACATGCATGCCTGAACTCCCGAAAGGATGGGGAGACAGAGAAGGGCCTGCAGTGTGACCATCTGCCATGGGGTGTCTTCTCACTTTCCTTCTTTCTCCCTCAGTGCATGTGGCCTTTGGCAGAAAGAGGAGGAGGAGAAAGAAAGGAGAGGGGAGGAGGAGACAGCATGTGTGCGCGCGTGCGTGCACACACACACACGTGCCGCTGGGAGGTCACAGGCACCACAGATGCACGAGACCCTGTGGCCTCACAGTCTAATTCGGGCTCTGCCACTGAAGAGACACTGGCCTTGAGCGAGTTATGCAACTCCCTGTGCCTGAGTTTCTCTGTCTAAGCAGCGACAGTTGGTGGGGACGCTAAGTGCACGCCCTTTACCACTTGCACTGACTGGAGCCCCGTCACGCGGACGCGGGAAGGCTGAGGACCCCGGGTGGAGGCTGTACCTTGGAGCCATTGAGAATGTAGTGCTTCTTATCCTCACTCAGTGTGGCTCTGGTCCGGATGGAGGCCGCGTCACTCCCACTGCAGAGACAGAGAGGTGAGGTCAAGGGAAACTGCAAAATGCGGACAGGTCGAAACACTTCAAGTCCTAAAACAGAGGTTTTGTAGTGCCCCATCAGGGACAGGCAAACTTTTAAAATAAAAGGTCACATAAAAGGGCCAGCAGGTGGCATGGTGGTGAAGATTCCCACATGGCTGACCAGTTTAAATCCCAGACCTGGTAGCTTGAAAATCATGCCTGCTGTGTGTGTGCATGCCGAAAACCCCAGGAGGATGGAGAAGGCATTGCGGCATCCACGGCAGAGTTGGTAAGCAGATTAACTTGTTCTTCCAGTGATTTTAGAGATGATCTTGAATTGTCTATCAGAGTTTATACTGAAAATGGAAGACAACGTTTTTCCTCTATTAAAGCACAGAATTCTTGCTAGTCAGATCATTACAGCAACATGGTAAAAAATACTCTCTCCATAATTAAATCTGGGAGATGGAAAAAAAAATTTGAGAGGAGAGCAAGTAGTAAAATCTACTTTAAAGGAAAGCAAACAAACTTCAGCAATTTTCCAAATTCAGTTTGCACGACTAAGAATACTTTTACCCGGGCTCCAGGTTAGACATGATGTGGCCCCCAGAGTACTACGGGTTACCGTGAGGAGGAGCCTAGACCTCCCGGGAGGGGTCACCACTCCTGGGCCCCCAAGTGAAAGGAAGCAGGGTGGAGCACGGCCCCATGACACACTTGCCCCAAGTCCTGGGCCCTGCCGTGGCGATAGGGGTAGTGCTCTGCTGTCCGAGGCCGAGGTCTTGTGGGAAGCCTGGGTTCTGTTCCACTTCAGCAATTTTCCAAATTCAGTTTGCACGACTAAGAATACTTTTACCCGGGCTCCAGGTTAGACATGATGTGGCCCCCAGAGTACTACGGGTTACCGTGAGGAGGAGCCTAGACCTCCCGGGAGGGGTCACCACTCCTGGGCCCCCAAGTGAAAGGAAGCAGGGTGGAGCACGGCCCCATGACACACTTGCCCCAAGTCCTGGGCCCTGCCGTGGCGATGGGGGTAGTGCTCTGCTGTCCGAGGCCGAGGCCTTGTGGGAAGTCTGGGTTCTGTTCCAGCCCAGCCTGAACAGGCCACGTAGTGTGTGTCTGTGGTCTCAGCCAACCAGAAGGCTGAGACAGGATTGAAACACGGAAAAGTTCTTTCAAAAGTACCACTTTTCTCCCTCCTATGCACTTTCTCTCATTAAAAATAAATACATAGGAGCCAGCAGGTGGCAGGGTGGTTAAGGTGCTGGACTCCCACGTGGTCAACTGTGGTTTGGGTCCCAGACCTGGCAGCTTGCTTTCTCACTCCTCCCCACCCAATGTTTCTCTCATTGGTCAAATTAAGAAAAAAAGAAAATTAATAATAATAGTGATAAAGTTAAATAAAGTAATTCTTAAAAAAGAAACAAACAAATAAATAAATACATAGGAGCTAGCAGGAGCAAGGTGGTTAAGCAACTGGACTCCCACATGGCTGACTGAAGTTCAAGTCCAGGATCTGGTGGTTTGAAAATCACGCCAGGGGGACCAGATGGTGTAATGGCTACATCGCTGGATTCCCATGTAGTCGACCGCGGTTTGACCCCTGGACCCAGAGGCTTAAAACTCACACCAGGGATATATGCGTGAATGCTCAAGACCCCGAGAGGAGAATGGAAGAGAAGGGATTGTGGCATGGCCATGCCCCCTTGGGGTGATTTCTCACTTTGTCCCTCTGGTGAGTACGCACACTCTATAGTAAAAATCTTTCAAAAAAAAAAAAAAGAAAGAAAACCAAGCCAGATTGAGGTCAGCAGGTGAGTGGTGGATAAGGTGCTGGACTTCCACAAGGTCAACTGTGGCTCGAGTCTCGGACCTGGCGGCTTAATTTCTCACTTTCCCGCTCTCTCTTTCTGTCTCTGGTGAGTGCATGTGCCCTATAGCAAATTATAAAAAAGTAATAGTAATAAGAAAATGAAATAAATAATTCTAAAAAGAAAAATAAAATGACAGGTGCATGTGCACGCATGCCCCAAATCCCCAGAGACGAGGAGAATGGAGGAAACTGACACGTGCCTGGTGTGCTTTTCAAGTCACTGGGTCCAGGACTTGAACTGTTTATCCCCCCAGGGTGGGTGTCTCACTTTCCCTCTCTGTCTCTCTCCAGTACGCATATGCCCTCTAGTAAAAAAGTAAAACAAAAACCTGAAGAAAAATTAAATGAATAATTGACTGTCTCAAGTTCTACCCGGACCCTGTTCACCCTAGCTGTGTGACTCTGGGCTGTCTGGCCGGCACCATCTCTCCAATGGGCTCTGAAAGGTGCTGAAGCCCGAATGCATCCTGTGCACTAAAGGGGGTTGTAGACCACAACACTGATTCGACAGGTGCTACCAGGTGTGGTACCTCTCTGTGGGTACCCTGCAACAGTGAAGTGAGGTCGAGGCGGGAGAGCTCTAGATTTTAGGTAGGGAGAGATAAGTCAGCCCCGCCAGGCCCTTGCTCTGGTGACCCGGGAGAATGCCCTGGATGCTGTGAGGGAGGGCAGACCTGGCCGGCTCCGTCAGGCAGAAGGCTGCGATGTGCTCCCCTGAAGCCAGCTTGGGCAGGTACCTGGCCTTCTGCTCCTCACTGCCAGCCAAGAGGATCCCCTAAATGAAGCACACACAGTCACTTCAGCTGTGGGAGAAAAGAGCGTGTGAGGCGTACTTGGGAAACATTCCCCCCGTGAGGAAAGTATTTACTTCCTGCATGAGAAGAAAGTGGTGCTCAGAGCTGGCGGCCACAGGCAGCTGGTGCCGAGGACCCTGCCCCACAACACAGACAGCAGTGCGGGGCCGTGGAGTGGCAGAGTCTGGGATTTTTGTCACAGTTCCTGCACTTCCCCACCAGGCAGGCCTCGGGCAAGGCCTTGGGCAAGAACAGCCCTCCTCTGAGCCTTCATCTGGTCATCTACAAGTGGGGACATCTCCCCCCATGGCAGGGGGGGCCGGCAATGAGATGTGAAGTCCCCTTACGGGGTGCAAGGGCCGCGCCCTGAAGGAGGAAGACATCAGTCAGTGTCAGGGCTGCCCGTCCGCCCACTGCCAAGGACACTGGTGTTCACGCTGTCTGGGTGTGCCAGCTGAGCACGGCACTCACTCTGCTCTGACACCTACGCGGACAGAAGTCACCCGGTGCTGTGGCTGGGTGAACGCTGTGTCCCCAAAGGCTTGTGCTTCGGGATCTGGTCCCCACTTGTGATGGCACCGGGAGGTGGTGAGGCCTCATGGTGGTGGCTGGATCAGGGAGGCATCGCCCTCATGACTGGGCTCATGCTTCGTAACGAGGGGAGTGAGCCTGTGAGGGGAGTGACCTGAGAGGAGAGTGAGCCTGCAAGGGTGGGTTGCTGCAAGCTCTGTGGCCTTGGACCTGCCCAAGCCCAGCAGGGTGAGGAGGCTGAGTGACACAAAAGTGGGGTCTCGAGAGCTCAGTAGGGCCGGCTCACATCCTAGCACCGACCTGGGCCCGGAGGGTGGGTCATGGGCAAGGGGCACAGGAGGATGCAGAGGAGCTGTGTGATCCAGGGCACTTCTGTGTGGCCACTGGAGGCCGCAGGGCAGGCTGCAGGGGTAGCCTGGGCTCACATTCCTCTAGGAGCCCCAGAGAGCAGAGGCTCACGTCCTCCAGCCTCTACACCACCGTGTAGCCCAGGAGAGCTTCAGAAAGAATCTAGCAGAAACCCTGACACTCGACCTTGAGGCCAAGGGCCTGGTGTGCCGCCAGGGTCACGGCGATGGACGCGTCTTGGCTAATGATCTCCCCCAGCCGTGAGTACATGGTGTTGGAGAGGCCCAGGCCACCTAGGAGAGACGTCTTAGTCACAGTGCAGCCCGTGCCCCCCAGGAGACAGATGGCTCCATGAATGATAGCTCCAGGGTGCCCCACTGCCCAGTGGACTTGGGACGGGGCTCCTGCCGTGGCATTATAACCTGTTGACAGAGAGAGAGGCCAAGTGAGAAAGAAAGCCACCAGGTCTGGGACTCGAACTGCAATCGGCCACGTGGGAGTCCAGCGCCTGCTTACCATACTCTTCCGGAATTTGCATCCCAAAAAGCCCTAGGCTCTTCAATTTCTGGAAAGTTTCGTCTGGAATTTTTCCTTCCTGGTCAATTTTTCGAGAGTCCACTGTCAAGAGGAAATACCTCGATTAAACAAAAAATAAACTACATTTATACAAATTTAAGAGGAAACAGTTTTGTGTAGGATATAGCCCCTGTGTCAGAAAGTTTTCAAAACTGGAAACTGTCTAGTTGTGTCATTTAACACGTGTTTCAGTTTAAATATTTAGTCCAGCAAGAACTATATGTATTTTTTTGTTTTTAAAATATTTTTCATTAAAAATATTAGGTTAGGGGCCAGCAGGTGGCATGGTAGTTAAGGTGCTGGACTCCCAAATGGCCGATTATGGTTTGAGTCCTGGACCTAGAGGATTGCTTTCTCACTTTCCCTTTCTCTCTCTCTCTGGTCAAATTGAAAAATAAGTAATAATAAGTAAGAGTAAATAAATAATCTTTAAAAAAATATATGAGGTTGGGGCCAGCGGATGGCGTAATGGTTACATCGCTGGATTCCTACATAGTCGACTATGGTTCAAGTCCCGGACCCAGCAACTTAAAACTCACACTGAGAGCATGTGTGTGTGTGTACCCAAAACCCCAAGAGGAGACTGGAGGAGAAGGGACTGTGGCGTGGCCACCCTCCCAGGGGTGATTTCTCACTTTCTATCTGTCTCTCTAGTAAGCACACATGCCCTATAACAACAACAAAAAATCTTAAAAAATTAAGTTAACATATACTGCATTTGTTTTTTCTTTTATTTGCAGTAGGGTGTGTGCACTTGCTAGAGAGAGTCAGAGAGAGAAGAGAAAGTGAGAAAGCACCCCCGAGGGAATGGCCACGCTGTAACCCCCACTGTTCCACTCTCCTCTTGGGATTTTGGGCACATGCACACACTCACACAGAATGGTTTTCAAGTAGCGTGGTCCAGGACTCTAACCATGCAGGCAGCCATGATCCAGCTGCCCAAACCACCACGCCACCTGGGTATTTACCTTTTTCAATGAAGCAAATAAGAAAACATAGTAGTTCTCAAATTTCTCCATTTTAACTCCTAACAGGGCAAATATTGATAAATAAAACCCTGGGGTCAGCAGATGGCATGTAGCTGTATCACTGGACTCCCACGTGGCCGACCACAGTTCAAGTCCCAGACACAGTGGCTTTAAAATCACATCAGGTGGGGACCAGCAGTTAGCGTAATGGCTATGTTGCTGGACTCCCCCCAAGTTGACCGCGGTTTGAGTCCCAGAACAGGTGGCTTAAAACTCACGCTGGGCGCGTGTGCATGTGTGCCCAAGATCCCGAGAGGAGAATGGAGGAGAAGGGATTGCGGCGTGGCCATCCCCTCTGGGGGGTGATTTCTCGCTTTTTATCTCTCTGTCTCTCTCTGTCTGGCGAGCGCACACGCCCTATAGCAAAAACCTCTCAAAAAAAAAAAAAATCACATCAGGCGCATATGCGTGCCCAAGATTCCAGGAGCAGATGGAGAAGGGACTGAGGTGTGATCACCCCCTGGTGGGTGACTTCTCACTTTCCCTTTCATTGCCTCTGACCCTCTCTCCGTTCTCAGCAACATACGTGCTCCAAGGCAAAAATCTCTCTCTCAAAAAAAAGGATAAATAAAACTCACAGAAACTTTTCTATAAGTATTCAAAAGTGTGTGGTATCACTGTAAATATTATTTTAGGTTTCAATTTGTTCTCTTTTTTCCCCAGAGGGTGTGTGTGCTCACCAGAGAGAGAAGACAGACAGCAAGCAAGGGAGAGGGAGAAAAGCACGGAAGGGGCATGGCCATAAACAACCCCTTCTCCTTCATTTCTTTACGTGGCTGGAATTTGAGACATGCATGCACATACACCTGGCGTGTTTCTCAAGCTTTGGGCTAGGATTTGAACCACATGACTGGCCATGTGGAACCTGGCTCCACTAAGCCCAAGGGCACAGGGCTGGCCCCTAGATTTCAATTTCTGATTGTTCGTTGCTAATATATAGAAATACAAATAATTTTTTATGATTATTTTTGTAATAATGTGACATTCTAGTTTTTTCTGGACGTATGCATTTCTATTTCTGAATTTTCTCTTTAAAATCTACATTTTGTTTCTCTCATCAATAAAAGAAATTTAAGAAATAAAGACCAGCAGATGGTGTAATAATTACGTCACTGCACTCCCACGTAGTCAACTGTAGTTCGAGTCCCAGACCCAGCAGCCTAAAACTCAAGCCAGGCACATTTGCATGTATGCCCAAAATCCCAAGAGGAAAATGGAGAAGGGATTGCAGCATGGCAATCCCTACTGGGAGGTAATTTCTTACTTTCTGTCTCTATCTCTCTGGCAAGTGTACATGCCCTATAGCAAAAACCTCTCTAAAAACAAAAACAAAAACAAAAACAAAATAAAAGACTGGGGCTAGCAGGTAGCGTGATGGCTAAGGGTGCTGGATTCCCACATGATCGACTACGGTTCAAGTCCCAGACCTGGTGGCTTGCGTTCTCACTTTCTCTATCTCACTCTGTTCCTCTTTGGTCAAAATAAAATAAATAAAGTTAAATAAAATAATTCTTAAAAAAAAAATAAAAGTCTGGGGGTTGCAGGTAGCATGGTGGTTAAGGGTGCTGGACTCCCACGTGGCCAAGGGCAGTTCGAGTCCCGAACATGGTGGCTTGCTTCCTCACTTTCCCCCTCTCTTTCACTCTGTCCCTCTCTGGTCAAATTAAAATAAATAATAAATAAATAAAGTTAAATAAAAATAATTCTTAAAAAAATCTATACAAGGTGCTTTTAAAATTTCATAGAAAAATATATTTAACATGTGAGTTTATTTTGCAAAAATTTAGAAAATCCATAGCTTGTAATTTGCATTTTCCACTTAATGTCTGAGGCCCTCTTGTACACCACTTCAAATACAGTATTAAGGCAGCCAGCCTCATAATGGAAACAGGCAATGATACACATACCTTCTTCAGAGAAGAATTTTTCCACGGGTGCCACCAACTGATTGATTTCATTGAGTTCATCTTGGCTAACTTCTGGAAATGGGAAAACTTTTTTCTGAAAATAACAAACATTTATTAAAAATTTAATTTTTAGCAATTTCTCACCACAGTAGTAGCAGTCAAAAGAGGGAACAAAGATGCACAGAGCCAGTCCCCCATGCTGGTGGTTAACTGAGCTGAATCCCACATGGCCGTCTGCAGGTGCAACACCAGTGCTGGCAACTTGGGAAAACACACTGGGCACATCTGTGTGTGACCACAACCCGACAGGCTGGGAGAGGGCGCTGTAGTATGACCACACCCATCGGGGGTGGCTTCTCTCCCTTTCTCATCTCTCTCTGGTGAGTGCATGTACTGTCTTGCAGTTAAAAACAAACCAAAACCAAAATCATGATTTTCAGGATTCCGTATCTGGGCAGCAGGAGCAAAAGCTCTTTATTAAAGTACTGAATTCAACATCAATCATGCAAAATGCTGCCACTGATGAGAATACACTGCAGCTGCCAAGCCTGGCCCCTGAACCTGTGTCCCTGTCTGACACCCCTCCCTGTACTCAGGATGCAGGGAGTAGGGTGCTTGGACGGTGGCCAGATGTGAAGCCAGGCCAGCCTGAATGCAGCCTGTGCCTGGCCACCCCTTGGTTGTGACTGGGAACTTATCCGGCCTTTCTCAGAGCCAGTTTTCAGTACAGACGACCCTACTACTTCACAAGTTCTGAGTCTCAACACGGCCACATGCCTGCACACGAAGCTCCCAGTTTTCTGTACCAGATCCTGGTTCTGCCTGGCCCCCACCCCATGGCCTGGAAACGACTGCTCCCACTCCTGCTCCAATCCAGAGAGCAGTCAATGTTTCTCACTGGCCCAGAATTCCCTGTGGACCCTCGACACAATCTTGCAGAATCCCGAAGTCCTCTGGCCTGTTGGGTTCCTGCTACCTCTTTAAGCTGCCAGGAGGACCTGTGGATTTGGACTCTGGATGCTGAGTGAGACATCCTGAGTCAAAACTACTGGGCCCAGGAGCCCTGCCTCTCCTCCTGACACTTCTCACCAAGCTTCTCCAGGAAGGCCTTCAGAGGAGGCCTCAACCTCCCTTCCCAGCCCCTCTTTCTATACATAAGCAGATATTTGACTCTTCTATTTACTTTTTTTAGAGAGGCTTTTGCTATAGGCCATATGTACTCACTAGAGACATAGAAAGTGAAAAATCACCCCCCTTCCCCCAGGGAAGATGGCCTTGCCGCAATCCCTTCTCTATTCTCTCAGGATTTCGGGCACACATGCACATGCACACGCAATCAACTACGTGGGAGTCCAGCGACGTAACCATTATGCCATCTGCTGGGCCCCAACCCTTGACTTTTCTGCCCTAAGAACTGTTCTCTCTGGCCCTAGGACTAGACTTATCAGGAAATTCCTACTCAAGAGTAACAGCTTACTTAAAGGAACACCTCCCCGTCCTCCCACCTCTGTCCTCAGGGTGATCTGGAAGGAAAGTACCCAGGACTCCGGTCAGCTGCAGGCTCTCAGAACAAAGCCCAGGCTCCTGTGCTGTAGACGCAGAGACCCACCCACCCCACTGCACTCGTGTTCACCTGGCCTTGGGCACTGGGCTGTGTTAGAGGACCATTCTGGTACCAGCAGGCAGAAAATATGCAAACATAGACACCCTGGGAACTAGCTTGTGTTCAGTGAAAAGGGTAACTACCACCGGAAAGACACCCTAGAGGCAAGGAAAAAAGAACCCTGTGACAACAGTGGTCAAAATCAGATGGGGGGGAGGCTAGTCCCATGGCCTACTGGTGAAGTAGTTAATGAAACTGGATCTCACATGACCAACCAGGGTTCAGATCCCAGGCTCAGCAGCTTGAAAAGATGTTGAACATAATGTGCCCCAACCCAGACAAGACGGAGCCATGAAGGGACTGTAGCAGCACACCCTGATGGGGAGAGCTTTCTCTCCTCCTCTCTGTGTCTCTCTGGCATGGAACCTCTGGCCCTGACCGAAAAAATGGAATGGGGGCCCAGGCTGTGCTTGTGCAGGTGGCAGGGGGGCCACTGCGTGGAACTGCAGCTTTTGAACTGCAGTTGTAGGTATAGCGCAGCAGGTGGTGCCAGGCTGACCTGATCCTCGCTGGAGGCTAAGGGGAGGGTGGTAGTGCAGCAAGACCCTGCAGGTGGTCCTGGTGTGTCTCTGTCTCATGGAATAATTAAGTAAAACTTTTTTAAAAAACGGAATGGTTTCAGGGCTGGCAAGTGGCGTGGTGGCTAAAGATGCTGGACTCCCACATGGCTGACCACAGTTCAAGTATTGGACCTGGTGGCTTGCTTTCTCACTTTCCCTCTCTCTCGCTCTGTCTCTCTCTCTCTGATCAAACTGGAAAATATAATAACAATGATAATAAATAAAATTTAAATAAATGAATTCTTTTTTAAAAAAAGGAATGGTTTGCCTCATGGAAGCAAATTTAATTTCAATGCACAATTTTCAAAAATTTTAAAACAGTGGATCCTATTACTCAAATAAATAGAGGATAGAACCCAAACATAAAATAAAGGCCAAGCTGCTCTGATGGACACTGCTGATGGGGAAAAAAGGTCACCAAGTCCCATCCACTCAACTTCCAACTCACCCTTGCAGCAGCCCAGGGCACTCCCAAGAACAGCTCTGGCCCACTGAAGGGCAACATGAGAACGACTGGCCTCGTGCCCTGGCAACTCTCCTACTCTGAGGTGCCAGCCTCACTGCCACGTTCCCACTCAGGCCCCAGGAATGCAGTGAGAGGACCCTGGCCTGATCCGATAGTAGTGGTCAAGGGGCCTAAAGGCTGTAGGAACCTGAGTACCATCTGACAGTGGAGGGGACCGCTGCCTAACTAGAAGTGGACCGTGAGGACAGGAGTCAAAGCTGATAGGTGTTCAGTCTGAACAAGGGAACAGCAGCGTTGGTATTACCTGTGATAGCGAAGGCCGGCGGGAAAAGGACTGGGTGGTGACCAGGCATTCGATTCTGGGTATTATCACCTGAAATGCCTATTAGACATCTAAGCACTGCTTTGCAGTAAGAACGTAGCTATAAAGAGAACCTGGGGTAGAAGAGAAATCTGAGCTGGAGAAATAAATTTGAGTCATTAAGATATTGATGGTATGGGGGACCAGCAGTTAGCGTAATGGCTGTCACTGGACCCCCACGTAGTCGACCATGGTTCGAATCCCGGACCCAGCGGCTTAAACTCACGCCGGGTGCGTGTGCATGCGTGCCCAAGATCCCAAGAGGAGATTGGAGGAGAAGGGATTGCGGCATGGCCATCCCCCCTGGGGGGTGATTTCTCGCTTTCTGTCTCTGCCTGTCTGGCGAGTCCATGTGCCCTATAGCAAAAACCTCTCCAAAAAAAAAAAAAAGATATTGATGGTACTGGGCCAGCAGGTGGCACAGATGTTAAGGCAGCTGATCCTACATGCCAACTGCACAGCTGGGAGTCCTGAACCTACAGCTTGAAAGACACACTGGGTATGTGTGTATGCGTGCCCAAATCCTGAGAGAATGGAGAGGGGTTACAATGTGACCATCTCACCTGGGGGAAGAGAGCATTTCTTACTTCCGCCCTCTCTCTCACTGTCTCACTCCAATGAGCACATGAGCCCTATAGCATACTAAAAAAATAAATAAATGAAAAAAGTATTGATGGCATTTAAAGTTGGAACACGAAATTAGACTGTGGATATGGTTGTTGATAAGAGCGGTCCACAAACTGAGGCCAATGCTTAAAGAGTTCCAAGAGCCAAGAATGACTAGCAAAAACAGTGAAGCAGAGACATTCAGGACAGAATGGCTTTTCAGAAGCCAGGTAATGAAAGTGGCTCATATATTGCAGAGTGATAAAATACATCAGATGCCACTGACAGGCAACTGGACTAAGGACGGAGAACAGACGCCCGGACTTGATAACAAGGTCACTGCTGACTTTCATGACTGTGGGACAGAAGCCTGAATGCTGTGGGTGACAGATCCAGCAGAGGGAGTGAGGGTACTGCAGGGGAAGGAGACCACGACCCTAAGCAGGGGAGAAGGCCTGGTATGTAGGGACAGGCTGGCCTTGCTGGGACGGACAGCTTATCCACAGTTACACGGAGAGTGCAGATAGTGATGCACACGCAGGGAGGGGTGCCTGTCCTGGGCGAGATCCTCTCTTCCCACTGCATGGGCTCTCTCCATGAATGTGAAGAGGACTGCAGGTGGGAAGGCGCCACTGCCACTGACGCAAAGACTGAGAGAGCTAAAAAGCTGGTGTTCTTCCTCTGCCATCTGCTGGGAGGGGTGAGGTCCACACCGCACAGGCCCAGGTGCTGGGAGAAATGGCCACCCAACCTTTAAAGTCTTAGCTCTGCATTTCCCAGCACAGTGCACCACTTCCGGTCTGAGTCTCACTTCTGTGTCTGGAAAGCTGCTGGGAAGGCAGCCTGACAGCCGTAAAGGAATATACTAGAGAAACGGGGCGACTTCTCATGTGATAAGGGCCATCCAGCACATCAGCCAAGCTTAAGGCATGACAGCTCTGGGGGGACAGGCACTGCGTTTACTCTTACTGTTATTACTGTTTATGAGAGGCAAGGAGAGACAGAAAGGGAGCGGGATAGAAGGAAAGGGAGATAGAGGTATTTTTAGCAAGGTCTTGCTGTGTGAACACTCCTGTTCTGTCTCCCAGTTGGCCCTGGTTCCAGGTGCATGCAGTCAGGCTGGCTATTCAGATTGGCCCAGAATTGAACCGGGCCTCCCATGCACCTTTAAGCCTTCTGGATGGGATTTCCTCCTGCTCTTGTAGAAAATGCACTGAGGCACAGGGAAATGAAGTGGCAAGCCCTAGGAATTAATTTTTTTTGGGGGGGGAGAGATTTTCACTGTAGGGCGCGTGCGCTCGCCAGACAAAACTTCATTTACCCGGGCCTACAGCACAACTACGGTAGACGCACCTCCAGCTCCACCTACGGCCGAAACAATCGGAGAATGGAGAGGGGGTTAGAGTGTGACCATCTCACTTGGGGAAGAGATCATTTCTCACTTCCACTCTAGCTCAGTCACGAAGCCGAGGTCCACTCAAGGGCGCTAACTAGGCTGGTGCGCACTTAATCGCTAACTAGGCTGGTGCGCACTTAATCGCCGTGGGCTAGCCGTAAGGCTCTGGGAGGGCGTGAGCCGGAAGGAACACGGACACCAGACCTGAGAAGCCTGCAAGGCTCGGGCTCCCTGCCGGAGAAGGGCGGGAAGCTGGCAGGCAGCAGCAGGGTCTAGGCCCGCCCGCCCTCGGCGCTCCACCCCAGCCCAAGGTCACCAGGTCAAGTCACCTTCTCGATTTTGCCCAGGAAGAGGTCTTTGGCGAAAGTTCGGCTCGGCGGACCCGCTCGCGGCAGGCGCCGGCGGGTGGTGACAGCCCAGCAGGCCCGCCCCGAGGCCCCGGCGCGCAGGAGCAGCCCGCCGCTCATGCCGCCCGCTGGGAGTCCGGCCGGCTGTGCTCCCGCTCCCCC